CTTCAAAACAGTGCTAACTGTTGCAAATGCATTTATGATCTGGCCTTTGGCTTCCTTTGCTCAACAACCATGTCAGGCTCTAAAAACTATTGCCAGCCAAATCCTTGTTTTGTTGTTGTTATTTTTAGTTTGTTGTTTCTTTTTGAGACAGAGTCTGGCTCTGTCACCAGAATGGAGTGCAGTGGCACAATCTCGGCTCACTGCAACTTCCACCTCCTGGGTTCAAGCAATTCTTCTGCCTCAGCCTCCCGAGTGGTGGCTGGGACTACAGGCACACGCCACCACACCCAGCTAATTTTTGTATTTTTAGTAGAGACAGGGTTTCAGTATGTGGGCCAGGGTGGTCTTGATCTCTTGACCTCGTGATCCGCCTGCCTTGGCCTCCCAAAGTGCTCGGATTATAGGCATGAGCCACTAATGTCCGGCTGCCAAATCCTTTAAGGCCCGGGAACTAAAAATGATTTTTATATAAAAGATTATCTAACCACCTACATAATAACTGATTTTGCCTCTTGGTCCACAAAAACCTAAAATATTTACTATTTATTTACTATTTTGCCCTGTAAGAAAAAGTTTGTGGACCTTTGCCCTATACCAACAATGTGAGAGTTTCCGAAACACCTATTGCACTTCTGTGTGCTTCTCTCTCATTTCTCTTCTTGGAAAGCTTGACCAGGTCTTGTATCTTGAAAACTCGTATTAATCCTTCCCTAAAGTTTCATCTTTTCTGTGAAGTCTTTCCTAATCCCCCACTCAGACTTTCCCATACCCTTTAAACAAAGCATGTGCACTTCTGCCTCCAGCACAGCCTTTAACACCTCTAATACATTACTTAGCAAAACTTTACTATGTTTACACGTATCCTCCTCACAGAAACATGGGAGGAGAGGAGGAGCTATCTTACTCATCTCTGTATTGTCAAAAAGCCCCCAACAACAAAAAGCCAGACTAGACTAAATTGTGTAACAGAAAAAGACACCGGAAAGTCAGAAAATGGGCAGATTCCACTAAGTTATTCCACCACCTATTTGTGCTGACTTGGATGCTTCCTTCATCACCAGGATACATGATATCTAGTCCATAAAGTAAAGGAATTAGATAATAATTTTTAAGATGTGTTCTGCTTCTAAACTTGTAAAATTCCCAAAGAATCTAACTCTTACTCCAAAATATACTGCCTTTTAACTTTTCTTTAAAAGATCTCACTCTCCCTATGCAACAATCTTGCATGTTCTTCACATGTACCCCAAAACCTAAAATGCAATTAAAAAAATAAATAAACAAACAATAATTTATATATATAAATTTTAAAAAAGATCTCACTCTCTTGGTCTCCTCTAGGCAAAAAAGTTTTTAGATTTAAAAAAAAAAATTCAGGTTAATTTAGGCATTAAACGTGTTGAAATATTATAGTTCTGTTTTCCCTATAAGCTCTAAATATTTTCGTATTATGAAGCACTTCCAGACCAATATATTTAAATATTGAATATATTTGTGAATTCAAAAAACAAACTGGAATTAGAGGAACCTTGAGTTCTCCCACTACAATAATTCTCTCTTCAACATTTCTCTCCTACCTGATATTAACCCATAATCCCACATCAGTACAAAACTGAAGAAAAAATAAAACCATACAGAAGAAAACCTCACCAATCAGGCCCAATTAGGAAAATAAGGTCAGCATAAATTCAGGGCTGGTAAGAAATACAATTTTCAAGCATGTGCTAAATCAGGCAGCAAAATAGTATTATTTAGACCTTTTTAGTGAATCTGTTTTAAGAGTAAGAATTATCTGTAATTAACATACCAAAAAATATGTAAATTAATCTATACAACAAACTGAAATATTAGGTTGGTGTAAAAGTAGTTGCAGTAATGGCAAAAACCGTAATCACTTTTGCACCAACCTAATATTTCAGTTTGTTGTATAGTTTAATTTACATATGTTTTAATACTGCAGCAGTAATATTATAAAGCCCTCTGATATTTACATTCATATAGATATTATGTACATTAAATTTACTAACCAATATTTTTGGTGTCCCAAACTAAATTTTAGCACCATCAAAACCTTTAAAAATTAGGATTGTAAAAAATTAATGAATTGATCACTATTTTTAAAAACTGCCCCCCACAAATACTTTAATCAATGTACAAAAAAAATACACATCCTGCATATCTTCTAATAGATCAATTAGTTTTTCAAACCGAAATGCTGTTCTCCATCCTTCCATATTACCATAACGTTTAATCAATGGTTCTATTCAGATAGGTATCACTTCCAGAATCCAAAACCTTTTCTTTCTTTTGTTAAGTGGAAAAAAATAAGAAAGTCAGTTTTGTTTATTTATTTTAGACTGTCTCCCAGGCTGGAGTGCAGTGGCATGATCTCGGCTCACTGCAACCTCTGCCTCCTGGATTAAAGCGTTTCTCTGCCTCAGCCTCCCAGTAGTTGGGATTACAAGCAAGCACCACCACACCAAGCCCAGCTAATTTTTGTATTTTCAGGAGAGACAGGGTTTCACCATGTTGGCCAGGCTGGTCTCAAACTCCTGACCTCAGGTAATCGCCTGCTTCCACCTTCCAATGTGTTAGGATTACAGTTGTGAGCCACTCCGTCCAGCCCTGAGTGTTTCTTTCATGCTAAAGAGATAACTCAGGGCAGACAGCCCCTATGTAACTTCAGGATGGGGGCTGGTCACAGCGAAGAGCAAAGCATGATTAGACCATTAGCACATTTCAGTCCCATTCTCCAACCTCTGGGTAGAGGAAAGGTACTGAAGGTTGATTTAATCAGTCATGCCTACATAGTAATGCCTCCATAAAAACCCAAAAGGACAGAGTTTGGAAAGCTTCTGGATAGCTGTACAAGTGAAGGTCCTTGTATTGGTCCAGGTGTTGGCCTATCCAGAGACAGCATGGAGGCTCCAAGCCACTTCCCACATGACCTCATCCTATGCATCTCTTCATCTGTACCCATTATAACAAACCAGTAAACCTCTTTCCTGAGATCTGTGCCACTCTTGGCAAATTAATGGAACCCAAGGAGTAGGTCATGGGATCCCTGATTTTTATATAGCCAGTTGCCAAAAGTTCCAGAGGCCTGCACTGGCATCTGAAGTGGGGGTAGTCTTGCGGGACTTAGCTCTCAATCTGTGGGATTTGAAACTATCTCCAGGTATTGTCAGAATTGAACTGAATTAGATGACACTCAGCTGGTATCCACTGCAGAACTGATTGCTTGCCAGGTATGCAGGGGAAAACCCACACACATTTTGTTACAGAAATGTTCTGTGCTGTTGAGAGCATAGGAGGAGCTGAATTTTTTCCTATATCCTCAGACCATTCATTATAAAAACATAAAGTAGGGGGAAGAGGGAAGGGAAGAGCCCTCGAAGTAAAGTAACAACAGAAGGGAACATCTTCAATATAAGTCTACAAAAACCCTACAGCTAATATCACATTCAACAGTAAAAATTTAATGTTTTCTCCCAAGAAACAAAACACGGGTGGTCCCCTTCCATGCATTGTATGGGAGGTCTCTGCCAGTACAAGGCAAGGAAAAGACTAAAGGGCATCCACAAGTAAGAAAAGAAAAAATAAAATTTTCTTTATTTGCCGACATCATAATATATATAGAAAATCCTATCTAGAGCAACATTACTAGAACAATATAATTTAGTAAGATAATAGGATACTAGATCAGTATGCAATAAGAGCAATATACAATTAAAAACAAAATTTTACAACCACTCCAATCACAACAGCATCAAAAAACAAAAGCAGGAAATAAACTTAAAACATATGTGATAAAAACTAGAAAGTACTGCTGTAGAGTCTTCAAGAAGGCTAACAGAGGGTGAAATACGGCATATTCATGAACAAGCAAAAAAGTCTGTGCACAAATGTTCACAGCAGTATTACTCACAATAGCCAAAAAGCGGAAACGATCCAAATGCCCATCAACTAATGAAAGGATAAACAAACTGTGGTATATTGATCTAATGGAAGTGTTGAGCAGCATATAGAAAAACTGGAACTCTCACACACTACTGGCGGGAATGTAAAATGGTACAGACAGACATAGGAGGAAAAAGTTTTGGCAGTTTCTCAAAATGCTAAACACAGATGTACCCTATAATCCAACAATTCCATTTCTGAGTACCTACTCAAGAGAACTGAAAATATTATAGCATGTGAATTATACTTTGATAAAGCTTAAAAAAAAAACAACCCAGAGATTAGAAAAGATATTTTCAATACACTGAAAAAATAATATATATGTCTAAAACTTCTACACAGTGGTCTCAAAATCTCTGCATAGGATGACTGTTGAAGGGCTTTCCCAGACAAAGCCAGTCTATGAAGACTAGAATAAGAACCTACTTCAAAAAAAAAAAAAGATAAAAATCCACAAAAAATCTGAAATGGCAATTCAGATTAAAAAATCTTACTGGTCAATAAATTTAAAAGTAAACACGATGTAAAAGATCATGCACTGCTTAAACTAAGATAAGAAAGTGGATGATTCATTGTTTCACTGCTATGCACCTTCATTTAGTTAAGTCTTTCAATTAGGCCTTCTTAAAAATTGTTAAGAGTTCATCATAACTTTCGCATTACACCTTCCCATTTTAGCCTGGTATACACAACTTCAGCCTTCTTTTACTCCCAGGTACCAACTTTAGAAATGAAAACCAAGGAATCATTTTGCTATTGTTATTTGTTAAGTTTTGCTTCATTTTTTACTTATCACACTTCCATCATATTTGACCAGTAAAATGTGTGAGAGGAACCTAATTCTTAATAAAATATAAGGATATTCATGTAAGGTAGCACAAACATAAATAATACTCTCTCTCCTTTTCTAATACCTTTCCCCTAGAAGCAATATTTTTAAGTAATTAACCAAAAAAGGCAAGTTCAATTCATTTTGAGTATAACTGGCAATAATCTGCCCAAAACATAAACATGAAATTGGCATGCAAATGTGCACTAACCTTCCAGTAGTCAGATTGTAAACTGTAGTACCTCTGGTATGCAGATAATGCTGGAAGAAGGAAAATAATTATGAGTCATAATTATGTCTCACTTTAAAGTCAATAATACATTTAACAAACATTATAACAAGATTCCCACCATACCACCTCCAAGCAGATAGTGATATTTCAGACCAAACAACTTAAAAATCTGGGCCCCCTCAGGAGTTCAAGAACGTAAAGCCATGGTCAGATCTCAGATCTGCACTTAAACAGCATCTAGGCTAACCCCATGCATCAACCTGACCTTCCTCAAACATCAAAACTGGTAAAGGATTAAGATTTTCCAAGGCTACTCCAGAATTTTCTAGATTATTTGTTCTCAGAAGAGACCTCACTTCCAAGAATGGCCAACAACTCGACCACCTTAAAGAGCAAAAGAACTGTTTCTTCTGTGTCGCTTCGTATCCTACAATCAACAAAAACTTACCCCTCAAAATTACCTTTCTCAACCTCAATTACAAAATAGGACAAGCCATCCACCAAATCCATCTTGAGGCATAAAAGATTCTGAAAAACCTAAAAGTAGGTCCTGTCAAACTCAAAATTCAGTGAAGTAAATGTAAAAAAGTGAAAATTACATATGTACATTACAATTGGTAGAGACTGCCCTTCTTAAAAAAACAAAATACTGATGAATAAACCCCATTCCATACCAAATAAATCAGAATCTCTTAAGGCAGGAGGCTAAGCACTTATTTGATCCTTCAAGTACAGATATGACTGAGGGACACCCTAATGACAAAGGCAGTGAAATGGAGTCTGAAGCAGGGTTAAAAAGTGGCAGCAGCTCAGATACATTCTAATATGCTGGGGATGTTTACAGATGAACCAATTTATGAACTTTAGATATTGGCACAACAGAAACAAACTGCAAACATTACGTGAAATGCTTTCATAAAATTAAACAGCCAAAGTAAGTTAGGAAAAAAATTGGATGTAATGAAGAGAAATTGCTCTAACAGATATTGGAATTATCATAAAGTTGTAAGAAATAGAATTGAAAAGAACTGAAAGTCCAAAATGAGAACTTTATATAGGAATTAGCACAGTAGATAGGTGGCATTTCCAATCAGTGGGGAATTATTAATGTAATCAGCACCCAAGTATTTATAAGTAAGCAAAAAAGTAAAATTTCTAACTCAAATCATATACTAAAATAATTCAATGACTACATTAAAAAGTCAGATATAAAAAGAAGCCCATAAAACTAATTTCTAGATGAAAACATGCGGAAATAAAATTTTTTTGGTCAGCTAGAAAAGGATTTTTTTAACTTGTGGTTTACAAGCCACAAGCTAAGATATGGAAGACCACGATAAAAACTATTTGAGAAGCAAATGGCTCCCTCAACTCTCTCACTCAATCCTTGATATTGTTTAGGCAATATGACCAAAAAAATACAGAGATTCTCCAACAAAAGGCCATGGAGATCATACTCAGAGATCCCCAATCACATGCTCAGAGCCTCCAGTTCTCAATTATTCCAATAGTAAAATATGGACAGATAAGAATTATCAGACATCTAAAGAAAACCTCTAACCAAGAAGACAAAAACTAACACAAACAGAAAAAAAAAAAATCTAAAAGAAAAAAAATGAATATTATGCAGGGGGAAATATACTTCAAAAAATTCTTACTAGTCTTAAATAAGGGAAAATATTGTTTTCATTGAGGGGGGTGGAGGGGGGTGTATGCAGGAGAACAAACAGGATGCTCTAGAAAAAAAATTAAATTCAGTAAAGTATGATAGAAGGAACGCATAATTCAATGAAAAGATTAAAATGAAATTTGAAGAAATCTCTCAAAAAAATAAACAAAAAGGACACAAACAGAAAAACTGTGTCCTGGAGGTCTAACATATCAATAATAGAGCCCCAAAAAGAAAGAATAAAAAAAGAAGAAGAAAATTCAGAAAATAATTCCAAAAAAAAAAAAAAATCCCACAAAAGAAGGCTATGAGTTGGTAGTTTGAAGGGTCCTACAACAAATGTGTAATTCTAGAAATAAGGCAATAGAACAATGTTTTCAAAATTCTGAAGGAAAATTATTTCCAACCTAGAATTATGTATCCAGCCAAACAATCTATTAGGCAAGTACAATAAAGGTGTTTTCCGATATGCAAATTCTCCAAAGAAAATTATCTCCCAAATACCTTTTCTGAAGAAAATTCTGACAAATATGCTTCCGTTAAAGGAGAGTATATACCAAGAAGGAAAAAGATATGGTTTATTGAAAGCAGGAGACAAAACAGAGACAAGAGGCCATGGGAATTCCCAAGATGAAGAAAAAGAGTGATCCCAGGATAGCTGCTATGCCCCAGATCCAGGTCACTGAGGCTTATCATTAAAATTCTGCTGCCCTTGTAACCTCTTCTCAACCTGAGGACCAAATATCCAGATAAAACTGGCCCAGACCGGGCTTGGCTTTTTCTTGACCATGTTCTGATGAAGTTTCTATTCTCCCTTCTATATTCTACAAAATAGATGATGTGAAGGCTCCCCAGAAGTGTTAAGTGTTCTGCTTTAATTTACTTTGGTTAAGGGGAGGGGAGGGGAACACAGAACATCACAGCCAGACATGGGTTACACCTACAGAGGCAGGGAGGAGGATGCAACTGGAGAGAACACAGGCTGGTGCCAGCAGTACCATTCTATTTCTTAAATTGTATAGTAGGTAGACAGGTGTCAATTTTAATAGTCTTTAAATCATATATAGGTTTTTAGACATTCTACTTAAGTATAATACACTGCTCAATT